TTTCCCCTAACCTACAACCTTAATGCTCGACCTCCATAATTCCCTGTCAAGGGCCATGTCCTCCGTAATTCTAAGTCGCGCCATGTCCTGTCTGATCACCTCTCCCCAATACTTCTTAGGTCGCCCTCTACCTCTCCCCGTGCCCACTACAGCCAGTCGCTCACACCTCCTCGCTGGAGCCAACATTATCGACTATCACCACTCACCATCTTACCACTCCGACTACCATCATTCTCCCCCACAATCAACACTCATCCACCTCAACTACCACAACTAACCACCCCATCACCATCAACAACGACAGCCGGCACCGCCCATCATTATAACCTATCACCGCCCACCTACCACCTTCCTCAATCACAATTACTACCACCAGCCGCCATTATTAACTATATCACCCACCACCATCATCCTCAATCATAATCGCAACCACTACCAATCACCACTAACTACTAGCATGAACCACCATAATCAACCAAAACTACTACCAACCACCGCCTCTAATCGGCATTCACCCGTTAGCTATCACCACCAACAACTATCATTTTTTTAAAAACTATATATTTATTGATAGAATATTACGTTAGTTAGTATTTCATTTGAATTTTATGTTTATTAATTTTCAAATAAAAATAATTTTTGTACATTCAGATGTTAAAATCAAACAGTCTTTAATTATTTAGTATTCAGATCTTAATACATATCTTAATATGTTCAGATGTGTATTCAGATTTAGATGTCTTAATCTTAATACACATCTTGATATTCAGATGTGTATTCAGATTCAGACGTCTTAATTTTAAAAATAAATAAATGAGGCCTTACTGAACTTTATAGACTCCACAAATTGAAAATTTTCCCAGAAAACTACTGTTTGCTACTGTGATTAGCAACAATACCATGACAAAATCATGAAACATCTATTGGACGGAACGTATTGCAATCTGAGGTGTCAAAAAGTGAAGCTAAATTGCATAAGAAGATCTAGAGCCATGAAATCATTCTGAGACATTATCCAGGTTCTTGATGTTATTGATTTACCTCTTCAAGGGGCTCATTACACCTGGTCAGAGTTGATAAACACATACAAGCATCCAAAATTGATAGGTTTATCATCTGCTGTGGAATGGCTCACTTAGAGTTGTGAGACAAACTGCCCTTCTAAAGGTGATCTCAGATTATATGCCAATCTTATTGGAGAGTGGGGACTTGGAAGCAAATCCTTGTTTCAAATTTGAAAACACGTGGCTACTGTCAAAAGGGTTCCTTGGCAAACTGTAGCACTTATGGCATAGTTACACTTTTACTGGTAGTGCAGATTTCGTCCTTCTACAAAAGTTGAAAAACTTGAAAAAGGACATCATTACTTGGAATAAGGAAGAATTTGAGAAGGTGGAAACTAGGAAAACCGGGGAACTAGATGAACTTACGGCATTTGACCAGTCTGAAGGCAATTGACTTTGTCTGAGTCCAATCGAATGATGAACCTGAGAGTTGAATTACAACAGCTAGCCAAAGCAGAAGAGATATCATAGAGGCAGAAGTCTAAGTATCTTTGGCTTAAGGAAGGAGACAGGAACACTAAATACTTCTAAAAGAGTGCCAATTCACACAGAAAGGGAAATTGCACTGACAAATTCACTGTGGGTAGTGAAATCATTGAGGATAAAGAATTGATAAAGGAGACATTGGATTTATATGATAAGCTGTACACTGAACAGGAAAATTGGAGACCTTCTGCTAATTTTGAAGGCATTGCCTCCACAGCAGAAGAGGAAAGGTGTGATCTGGAGGCACCTCTTTTTGAAGAGGAGGTAATAGCAGCTAAATCCAGTGTATCAAACAAGGCAGTTGTAGATGGGGATACAGTGGCCTTTTACCTACAGTCTTGAAAATTCATAAAAATATAAAATCTGACATTCTTGTAGAGTTGAATCCTTATCATCAACAATGTTTGAGGGTTAGATCATGTAATGCATCCTTCATTGCGCTGATATCTAAGAAGAAAAGTT